CTTGATATCCACTAATAGATTGAATGAGGATGATGGTTACCGACAAGTAACATTTCTTGTAAAAAGAATTCTGTCATGGTGAAGAAACAAACACCTTGAGATTGTTTGTTAAACTTATAGGATCAATGATCCATAAGTAAAAACATATTTGACAAGATCATGTCGCGACCCTTGTCTGAGTGTAGAATAATATTTTAAGAGATAATTATGGGATAGAGTAAATTTATAATACATTTTAAGTTTGATTTTGAGATAATATTTTTTTTTATAAAAGAGAAGATAATAACCTATATATTGTATTGCTTCATTTAGAATAAATCATTATAGAGTGGAAACGAATAAATAAATAGTCAAGTTTAGATTGAAAAAAAAATTAAATATGTAATTATATATAAATTTATATCTCATGTTAGATAGAGATGGATACATAATTTTATATTAAGAAACGAACTTCTAAATTTTTTATAAGATATAAACTTATAAAATTACAACTGAACAAAAATATATTTTCAAATAAAAAAATCTAAAATATTATCCTCTACCCCCACCAGTCTCTCAGTCCATCCATAGCCTTAGAGTTTAGGTTCTCAAAACCTTAATCTTCATCAACATAATCAAAGTAAAAGTACCCTATACAAATATTTAACCATAATTCAATACAATATTGTAGACATTTTTCTTATCATAATTATACATCAAATGCAAGCTAACAAGATCAAACGAACTAAAAAGAGAGAAGAATATTGTAAGAATTAAGTGATCTCGAGAATTACATGTATGCTTGTTGGTTTTATAAGTTTTACGTTTGAACACGTCGTTTACATGAATATTTAAATATTTATTAATTGTCGGAACCATCTTTCGGATGGGCCCGAAATTAGGTTTCGACTTGGATTAAACGAATTGGAGTCGCCACCGATCATTTATTTTAAAACAAATGGGTTGATCGGATACCCTATTTCTTACATGATTTGCGTCTTTCCAAAGATGTGTCGGATTCGGGAGTCGGTTACAGTCAAGGAAGGGTTAGCACCCTTGAACTGCCTTTTCGGTACTACGCAATTTCCAGTTGTCTTAAATTAAGAAAATTGTAATTTACAATTAAAAGGTAAAAATACGATCACAATTACTTACCTTAGATAGTTTTAAAGGTGTACCCTTAAAAGAGTCAAGAAACGTGTTAGATAAAAAATGAAAATAAAATAGAATAAAGAAAATAAAAAAACGACCGAAATAAAGGAATAAAAAAAAGAGTAAAGATAAAAATGAATACAATAAGAAAAATAAAATGAAAAAATAATGATAATAATATATACATAATAAACAAGTAAATAAAAAATAAGAAGAAAATACAAATAAATAAAACAAATGTAAAAAAGATAAAAAAATAAAATAAAGATAAGGAATAAAAAAAATGAAATGGAAGAAAAAAATAAAAAGGGTAAATAGAAATAAATAAAATAGAATAATACTAATAATACTAATAATAATAAAAACAACAAGTGAAGAGTAATAAAATAAAATAAAAATAAAAGGGTATAACAATAATAAATAAAATATATGTATATATATAATAATAAATATAATATTTGCAATAAATAAAAAATAAATGGAAAAATGTATATATATATATATATATATATAATAGTAATACGTATGGATAGATACTAGAGAGAGAGAAAAAATAATAATAATGGTAGGGAAATAAAATAAAATAAGATAAAAAAATATAATGAATATACATATAAATAAAATGTTTTAAAAATAATAATAAATTAAAAAAAGATAAAACAAAATAAAACACATAAAACATAATAATAATGAAATATATATAATAATAATAGTAATGAAAAAATAAAATATAAAAAAAATTGAATTTTTTAAAGCTCTTCCCCCTCCTCTTTTTAAATATCCGAACGATTTTCACAAAACAATCTCGAGATTCCGTAGATCTAAAAAGTTAGTTTCGAAAAAAATCCCCTTCGGCCATCAGTCTTTTGCGTTTTTGTGGTTTTACAAATCAAAAACAAAAAACAAATGACAAATGACAAATACAAGTCTAACCACCGAAAAATGTAAGGTTTTTTTACCTTTGTTGCCTTAGAAACTTTGCAAAAAAATGCTTTGATTGTTTCAAATTTTATGTTCGTATTTTGTCTATAAATTGTGTGTTACAATAGTGAGTTATAATGGTTATTTATAATGTTTGTGGATCCTATTTTTAGGAGTTTAAATCATAGTAAGACTCTATCATATTTTTAAGAGTTTGAATCCTAATAAAACTCTAATATTATGCTTAATTTTTGAATTCCCTAAATCGAGATTGTTAAAAGTGTTGTATCCGAAAAGAACTATGATGACAGTAATAAATAATTAAATTTTTAAAATAAATATTTATTTTATAATCACCTATAAGGATGTAGACGTTACATTAAAATATTTAGAAAGCATCAGAAAGTTGAAAATTATGAAAAGCAGGAGAAAGAAAACAAGGATTATAATAATAAAACACGTGCTCCCACCATACGGGAAGTGAAATGAAAGTTGAAAATCAGTCATTAGTTTTAAAGATAACGAGAGGTAAACGTTCGATGAGGTGGAGTCAATAAATTTTAAATTATTTAAATTGATAAGTTATATTTTATAATTTTAATTTTAGTTAATTTTTTTAGTTTAGTTGTATTGTTTGAGTTTTTATTTAAATTTAATTATAAATATTTATAATACTATGATATTATCTTATTTTAATTTAAATAATTTTTTATGATCATATATAATACATATATATTTTTTCATATTTTTTCATATATGATATTTATATATTATACACAATTAATTGATTCTATTTGAATTTAAAATATTTTTATCTAAATTAATAAAATTACTCTTTAGATAACAGCAGAGTAGTGGCGCTACACTATTTATGGACCTGACAGAAGGACGAGGGAATAAATGGGCCCCAACCAAATCACCAAACTTGAAATCAAATGCCACCCATCCATCTTTTACCCTTTTTAATACAATTTATATTTTATTTATTAATAATATATAACTTTATATAATATAAGGGAATTTGATGTTGATATTATTAACAACTTTAATATTAATTTTATTTAAATTTACTTTTAGTGATATGTAATTATTTAATTAATTTATGATGTATTAATATTGTTGAAAAAAAAATTTAATGACATTTCATCTATGGAACAGTTAATTAAAATTTTAATTTTAATTGAAATTATCTTCAGTTAAAATTTTGTGAGAGATCCATTAACAACCTAAATACAATTCGAGATGATTTTTAATTATCTGAATTCATTCTAACTCAGAACAAAATTTAAAAATAAATTTTGGGTTTGGGTCAGTTTTTTTAAAGGTGATATTCGGGTTAGGTCGAATTTGAATTTATGGTGAAAAATACCCGACCCAACCCGATTGACCCGAAAAAAAATATAATGTCATCTTATATATTTAAAAATAATTACAATAATATCTCTTTATATATTTTTTTAATTAAATCACTATTTTTATTAAATAAAAATAATAGTTTTTATTATTAAAATCGGGTCAGATTTTATAATAAAAATCAGGTTAGATTCGAATTCGGGTCAAATAAAAAATATATACTTTTCGAGTTGAATTGGCCGAAATCTAACCTATACTCACAACTGTCTAAAGATAGTCCTTTCTTCCAGGTGAGCCATTGTCGAGCTCTGCAGCAAAGTGTACGTGATTCGTCAATTTCCAGCTGATCAAACGAGAAGCCAACAAAATTGTTGATAATATGGCCAAATGAGTCTTTACTGCTGATGGCACCTTTGATATTCACGAGGCACCTTCTTCCGAGCTCCACGGTATTCTGCACAGAGACGTTCATGAAATTCCATTTTTCCCTTCTAGAGGCTGAATTTTTCCCTTAGCGTTTCATTTTCATTAAAAAAATGTTATTGAATGAACGAAAATAAATTATTGAGATTAATTGTATGAAATACATATATATTTATTAAAAAAAATAATCTCAATCGTTTATTTTTATTTGTCAAACAATTTTAAATTAATATAAAATTAAAAAAATTACAATATATAAGTGAATCTTAATTCATTATATATTATTTATTGTTTTATAGATATTAAATATTATAATGTAGAATTGTGGGTGATTGGTGGGGTCCATGTTTTGTAATCCTCCACCATGATAGAGTTAAATAAATAAAGAATTGGGGGAAGGAAAGGACACAAGAGAGTAGTAGACAACCAAACCTTTGTGTAAGCATCACCGAATATGCCAATTCGACGGTAGGGAGACGCTCACTTCTTCCACCATACCTTTTTTTTTAAAATCATCTTTAATTCTATTTTAATTATTTCTCATATTATATAGTTTTCCCCATTAACACATCTTTTTTTATTTATATGCACATATTTCCCAAAAAATCATATAATTTATAATTGGATCCAAAACCAATGGTCACCGATAGTTGATTAAACCGATGTGATATTCCGTCGTGGTTTTAATTAATATTCTATTCATTAATAATACATGTAATTTTACGTTTTTAATATATTAAATACTAATCTATTAACATACTTGTGTCCCAAAACGTAACTATCAATGTTAGGAAACATACGACGAATCTGGTCTATTGGATATTATTAAAACACTTGGCCTTGTTTATATCTTTAAAAGGGGCTATTATGGACAGATCTAGGGTGAGTGGAGGTGGTCATACCTTAAAATTTTAAAATTTTATATATATTTTCTTTATATTTTTATTAGTAATTTATTTTTTTCCTTAAAATTTCATAAATTTATATATTTTAAAATTTTATAAATTCTTCTCACAATTTAAATTTTGTACATGTCCATTACTGGGGTATATGACATTGGATGGTCGTGATTCATGATCATTGGGCAACACTTAAATTGGGCAGCAGATGTTGAACATCAATGGCACATCATGTTGCTTTGAATAAATCCCCCTTGTTGGACATGTCCCTATATCTTCTTCTCCATGCTCCACCTTTTATCCCCTCTTTTCATGAACTAAAAACACTCCCCTAATTCCACTCCACTCTTCTATTATATCTTACATCTTCTTTTTCATTTCTCTTGAGGCATCATGTCTCGGTACGAAGAGGTTGTCGGCGTCGACGAAAGTGGAGGAGAGAAGGGTATCATGTTATTCGGTGTTCGAGTGACGGAAGGATCGTTTCGTAAAAGTGTTAGCATGAATAATCTATCTCAGTTTGATCAGCCGCCTCAAGATTCTAACGCGGATGCCGGTTATGCTTCCGACGATGTAGTTCATGCATTTGGAAGATACCGTGAACGCAAGAGAGGTTTACTTTATTGTATTTTTTATGCTCGTTTTATGATTCATGTTTGTTTGTTTTTTCATGCAAAATTTGTTTACAGGTGTTCCATGGACGGAGGAGGAGCATAGATTGTTCTTACTAGGGTTACAGAAAGTAGGGAAAGGAGACTGGAGAGGGATTTCCAGAAACTTCGTGAAGACACGTACACCAACTCAGGTGGCCAGTCATGCACAAAAGTACTTTCTCCGGCGAAATAACCATAACCGCCGGCGCCGGCGATCTAGTCTATTTGATATCACAACTGATTCCGTACGTATACGTAAACTTCGTGCATCATGTCTTCCTAATATGTAATTATTTATTTATGTTCGTTTGTTTTTGTTGGTCTAAATTTTGCAGTTCATAAATTCAACCATATTGGAAGAAGATGTAGTCCACCGAGAAAACATTCCGGTGCCACCGCAGATGAGTGGTTTTCCAATGTCAATGTTTCCGGTAAGTTTAAGCACAGCTCCGGTAGTTTTAAAATTCACAGGAGAAAATAAATCCATGGAGAATCTCACGCTAGGGCCAATCCCGGTAGCAAAAACGTCCCCGAACCTTATCCGTCCGGTGCCGATTCTTCCACTTCCTCCATCATCAAAAATGTCCAATCTTAACTTAAACCAGAAGATCCAACTTGACCCTTTACCGCTATCGTTGAAACTCTCAACACCCTCCTCCTCCGATGAGCAGCCGCCGACGTCGACGGCACACTCGTCTAGTTTTCAGGCCATGTCAAGTGGGGATAACAATAGCATCATCAGCGTTGCTTGAAGATTACATGAAGAATATATGAGATACATACAGTAGTAAATCACCTGGAGCTGTATTATGACAAGATTGAATAAAAAGAAAAGATATTAGATTATTAATTGATTAGGTGAAATCCCTTGATTTGTACAGATATTATAACTTAATTAGAGGAGTAGTCAAAAGGAAAGTGGGGTGTCTTTGGTTTTGATGTTGTGGGTGATCGGCTGCTGTTCTTCTTCACTCGTCTGTCGTGGTTTCTTTTTTATGCACTTTTAGGTACAGAGAACTAAGAGGTGTTGGGTTTAATTATCTGTATTTGTTGTTTAAAGCTTTTTAAGAGATATTATCGTGTGATTTATTAATCGTGTTAGGTTGAAGGGTGTATTGTTTTCATCTGAAATTCTGAATTCGAGCTGCTATAGTCTCTATATATTATCAATAATTAAGAAATATTATAAACAAATATTATCTTATAATCATAAATTATTAAAAAAACAATAAAAACCCGAAAGAGAAGTGATTTTCAGGATAAAACATAACTTTATAGAAAATTATTATTTAATATATAATATATGTAAAATAAATTTTATAAGTTTTATTTATTTTAATTTTAAAATTTCAAATCATATAACTCTCAAAACCTAAATTTTAAATCATATTATTATTTTGCTCAACTCTCTTATCTCGTAGTACCACCCCTTCAAAGGAAAAATAACAAATTGGCTACATGATGCATCTCTAAGGAATCAAATAGCACAAACAAAGAAAGAGCAACTACAACAATACAATTAAGTACATCTGGACTACGACCTTTCTTTTTAGTGACTATATTTTTAGGATGCATTTGGCCGGGTATAATATAGGCTTCTATAATATTTTAATTTAATTTCAAGATTTAATATAATGTTTATATTTTTCCCCTTTTATTGACTTTAGATTATGCATTTAGTTTTGACGTGACAATTGATATGTAAAATTTGTTTTTTTTTGTTTAATTAGGTATTTAAATTTGATTTCTAGGTTAAATTAATATCTAAACTAGGTTTCATAGTTTAAAAATAAGTTATTTACCGCAAATATCAAATTAGACTGAAAAATTTTGGACATTATTTTGCATTGGAGAATCAAATTTAAGTATTTAGACAAAAAAATATTAAATATCAAATTAAACATTAGTACCAAATCCAAATATCGAATTGGATAAAAGAACTTACATATCCAATCATACCTTGTAGCCAAATGTAAATGCCAAAATATTTATTTACCTTTTTAGTTATTCAAATCTAAATATGTAAAAAAATTTCGTCTTCTATTTCATTTTACATTTCAATATTTCATCTTAGAGTTACAAATTAATCATTATTATAATATTATTTTTAAACTTTAAAAATTAAGAATATAATATGTTTTACTTATTGATGAATAACAAAACATGATATAGGCTGTAATAAATATAAATGATAATATAATATGATAAAGATTAGAACAAATATGAATGGTAATAAAATGTAAGTAAATGACAATATAACGTGACAGGGATTGAAATCAAAATGAATAGTAAAATAATGAAGGATGATAATAATACAGTGTGACAGAAATTGAAACGAATATGAATGATAATATAATATTTTTCTATTTTTAAGAATTCGGTTATTACTTTTATAATAAATATATCTTTAATTTAAAATAAAAAAAAAGTAATATGGATTGTCATGTACATAAATGGTTATATAATGAAAGTTAATGATAATATAATGTGACAGAGACTGAATAAAAATGAGTAGTAATATAACGAAGGACTATGATAGACTTCTTTTTTTTATTAATGTTAGGTGGATTATAAGTATAATCCATTTTAAAGATTTGTAAGTATTTAATAATAAAAATTTAAATATATTTACAGTCTTAAGTGCTTGAATCTGATACATCTAAAGATAACAATCATCTCTCTAATTATTGAGTATGAATGATAATATAATATATAAAGTATTTATCCCTCCATTTTTAAAAATCAATTACTACTTTTATAATTAGTAAAAAATATATTACTTTTATAAATAAATATATTTTTAATTTAAAGTATCATATTTAAATTTTCATACCATTAAATGTAAATTACAATAAAACGTACATGAATAATAATACAATGAAAGTGAATAATAATATGACGTGACAGAGATTAAAATAAAATGAACGAGAATATAACAAAAGTTTCAGTATCCGGTTAGATATTTTGTGAAAAATACAAGTATCATATTGTAAATACTATATTAAACATTTTGTCAAAATACAGGTACCAAATATGACATCCTTTACTTTTTTTTAGATTGAGACAATGGAGGATTTCATAGCATGATGCACTAATGGAGGATCCCATAAAATTATCATCAACAAGACAAGCTTTCGAGAATTCATGGAGAAGAAGGCTCAAAGTTAGAACCAAGCTAGCTAAAATTAGCCGCTTTTAGGGACTTCAAAACTTCTTTGGAAGCCAGTTTCTTCGCCATCTTCTTATCCGAAGCCGTCGATGTGTGCTTGAACACCCTACCATTTGCTTCCACCTCGATCGTAATCGAAGAAACGCCGCCGTCGCGAGAAACAACGGGTTCTCCTAGTTTATAATATTCCTTCTGACAGATGTCGTGCAGCTCTTTGACAGGGTGAACCGTCATTGTTTCGGGAGTGATCATCGGCTCCAACAGCGGCCTTATACTCCGGAACACGACGTCCTTATCGTATCCCGAGTCCACGAATATGGCCCCGGCGAGCGATTCCATCACGTCCCCGAGTACCTGGTGCATGCATTGTATTAAGTACAGAAACATTAAAAAGAGTTTACAACAATGACTTATGTAATAGTAAATGTAATTTAATAACACACCTTGGGGAAGGACTTTTGGGATTCCCAACCAAATGTATATTCCAACGACGATTCATGGAAGCTTTGGACAGTTTCTTTTATGTCCTTGTGTAGCTTCTGTGAAGCGTGGAGAATGTGCTTATGCAACCCGGTCTTGACAGCCGATAATGCATAGCAGTTGTTGTTAACCGACGCCGACCTCAGATCGGTTAACAATCCCGGCATGATGCCGGGATATTTATTGTAAAAATACAGAGTGATGAGGTAATCTAAAACAGAATCCCCAAGAAACTCCAGCCGCTGCACGGAAAAGAATTGACTATGGTCGATAAAGAGGAAACGATATGATTTTAACATGTTGATCGTATAGTGGATTATCACCGGACTAACCTGATAACATCCCGGAACTGCAGGAAGCATGTAAGAACCATGTGTTAGTGCTTCCACCAACACAGAGGAGTCTTTGAATGAATAATTTAGAAGTGACTCAAAGTACCGGACATTAACAAAAGTTTCTGCCTGCACTTCAAATCGTCTTACATACAGTATTTCCGGAACATCGGTATTTATACCGAGCCAGTTCATGAATGCTAAGGCAGCGGCTTCGCCTCCAGTGCTAAGATATGCACCTATAAGTGCCTCGACAACGTCGGCAACCTTTTTATTTTTCACCTTTCTTCTCCCACTAACATATATATTTTTTGAGTTGCAAAGAGTCTCCTCATTAAAAGTATAAATTCCTGAACGACAACCAGGAATCATCCAACTTTTTGGATCAAAAGGCTCATCACGGATAAATCCCTGCAGTTTGGAGTTTTTGAAGCATATTAAAAGGCTAATCACGGATGGAATTAAACAAATATGTAGAGGAAAATTTACCGGAAGCTTCTTGTTACATCCTAGGAAGCAAAGAGCTGCATTTGAGATGATTCTGTCCTTCTTGATACTGAGAAGGCCCTCGTGATGATTTTGATGTGTTCTGAATAGCTGCCGGCAAATGGCGTACTTCAGAAAAGAGTCGCCGAGGGTCTCCAGTGATTCCAAATGAAAACTTTCCAGGCACTTCTTGGTTGTAATTGCCTCCAAAACCTACTGAGCACAGTCGCATCAAGTCGAACCAAAGAGTAATACATAATATTCCTGTACGATGAATTCGAAACAATGCTAGCTTACCTTCATGGTTGGAATAGCAACATTCTGCATGCAATGATCTGGATGAATCATTCTTCCCAAGCTGGTAGCAAGGAGCAAAGACTCAATCCGATGCATGATCGATGGAACGAATGCAAAAGAATAAAACGTGCTGATCGATATGGGAGACACGAGGACATCACAAAGTTCAGGAGGCAATTCTACAAATGCATTAGTACTTGATTCTGCTAAATAAATAAATAAAAATCATTCACAGCCATCTTTCTAATCTGTAGAAGACAAGATGATAAGTGAAACCATACCTTTCTCCTTCTGTCTTCTGCACCTTTGAAGGTGATTATGTATAGGGAAAATGTGTCGTGCAGATAGCAAATAGACTCGAGTGAAACGTAAATGAATACCATGCCTGTAATGTCACAAGAGAATTGGATTACTAACATATTCCAAATCAATTCTTCACAAAAGTACTAAAAAAGATGCTTACCGTTGTTGATAATACTCTTTGTATGCTTCCATCACTCACCTTCAAAACCGAATTCGCATTTAAATTGTTTCGAAAACCATTGATGATATAGACATGGCCATTGTGGGGGGTAGAGACCAACGAATTCTCAATCATGCAGGTGCATAGCAGACCACTTTTGGTCTGTATCATACTACCATTACAGTTCTTGTGACGATTCCAGATCTTTTCGTAAGAAAACAAGACAGAAGAAACTGCGAACCAATCAATGGAAGGCTTCTGGTCCACGTAATTTGATGGAAGAATAAGATAATCAATGTCAGAATGCCCTGAAGTAAGGTCACACAACACCTCTGTCAACTTCTCTGCTTTACGGTCGATAAGAACTCGAAAAATGGCAATCTGAAACCTTCTACACACTATAACCTGGTCTGAATAAAGACTAATTGGTCCAGCATATTTCAAGTTAACTGTTAAACCCCTATCAACTTCCATTTCAAATCCAACACTTTTTTCATCAATTTCAAGCTGATTCCTCAAGAGGAG